AAGCATTCCCTCTGGGAGAGGTACCCCAGGAGACGCCAGGGTGCCCCAGGAATCAGGTGCAACCCTGTCAACAACGGCTTAGATCCACCAGACTTGCCTTGTGTGGGGAATGAAAACAGACTCCCGTGGTCTCTGGAGACACTGGGATGTCCCAGGAACCAGGTGCACCCCTGTCAACAACAGCTTAGATCCACCAGGGATCTAAGGGAGGGAATGAAAACAGACTCCCGTGGTCTCTGTCAGCCCTAGTTTTTGGTGATTCACCACATCAGACTGTAGTCCCCTGGGCCCGAGATGAGTTATAAAACACTTAAAACTTTGCTTTAGCTTTGAAAGTGAATTTCTTATGTAATGAAGGGTTAAATGACGTACCCATCACATCCCATTTTCATCATTCTCTACAAAGAGGAACGAGCAATAAAGATACTGATAAAGAATCCAGATCCCCTCCAACACAAATGAGTTCTCCAGTTCCTTCAAGATACCAGAAATGTATCCATTTTACAACTACCTCAGGCAGTCTGATAAGAGCCCTTTCCCCTTGAAGCAAATCTGGGATCCACAAGGCATTAAGGGGTTTAGATAAGATCATACAGTAAGCTTGAACAGAACTGAGTACAAAACCCAGCCTCACAAGAAGAAACCTTGTTTCATCTTCTCCCAGACATTTACCCAAATTCCAAAAGAAACTTTAGCAAAACTGGGACAGATGCACTGTTTCGAATAATTGCTAAAATCAGTGAGGCATATCAACTTGGAGGATAAATTAGGCAGTGTTCATCTCATCTTAAGGCGTTATTGTGGTTTCCATTTGCAGGTCAGTGAGTAAGATGTGGAAGCACCAGCATCAGGTAACGGTAAGTTTTGGGGACTTTTCTCTCTGCCATCATGTTATGAATTGAGGCTTTACAGCAAGTACCAGATTGGGGTCATTACTTAGGAAAAAGAGATTGTGCAGTGGAGTGCTGAGGAGGACAGAGGATAGGAAAGAGACAAGGCTGGGCTTGCTGGGGCTTTGGTTCAACCCAGGATGGCCTTCCTGGTAGTGTTGCGATTCTGCAGTAGCTTCTCCATCGTGCAGACACACTCTGTGCCCAGCTGCTGCCCTTGCCGGGTCTCTTTTCCTTGTGCATGATGACCTGCACGATGTCACCTCCCCTGGAGCGCCAGAGCCTGGAGCGCGGCTCAGAGAAGCTGAGATGCTCCGCGTGTTGACAGGCCCCCCGTGTCCCCTCTGCTCTCCCCACCAAGGCGTACCGCACGGAGTTCATCACCGCGTGGAGGGACCTCAGGCTGGACGTCGTGCTTTGCCCTGTCCTGGGCCCGGCTTTCACTACGGGCTACCCTGGGAAGCTCCTCAGTAAGTGACTCTGGGGCCCTCCCAGGAGGGGAGAGGACCACTGTGGTTGTAACAGGACAGGAACATGCAACTGTAAGGGCTGCTGGGGAGCTTTCCTGGCTCCCTAAGCATTTTACTGGCATCTCTGGAAAATGAGGACAGACATGTAGATGACATGATTTGATGAGAGTTGTTTCATGCAGTGGGACTTGGGACTCTCATACAACCAGTCCTCTGCGGTATCTCCTCCCAGATGCAGATAGTTCTCAGGAGACTTAATAAACATGTTGAAGTTTGAAAGAATATAGGTGGCTGTGGCTACCTGAGATCTTTCTTTTGCTTCTCGCAGCTGCCATCTCATCCACGATGTTGTACAATGTGTTGAACTTCCCTGCTGGCGTTGTACCTGTCAGCAGAGTGACGGAAGCTGATGAAGAAGAGCTGAAGCTTTATCAAGGATACTGTGACGACCCCTGGGACAGGACACTGAAGCAGGTCTGTTACACAGAAAGGGAACTACTCTCTCTGGAGAGATGCCTACTACTGCCTACTGCTGGAGAGTAGGCACAGAAGCACCTCTCCTATAAGGAGAGGTTGAGAGAATTGTCCCTGTTTGGCCTAAAGAAGAGAGGCTGAGAGGCGATCTTATTAATGTGTATAAATACATTAAGGGAGGATGTCAAGAGGAGGCCAGACTCTTTTGCAGTGGTGGCCAGCGATAGGACAAGACACAATGGCCACAGACCGAAGCACGGGAAGTTCTGCCTGAATTTGAGGAAAAGTGTCTTGATTGTCAGGATGACAAGAGCACTGGAACACATTGCCCGGGGAGCTTGTAGAGTGATTTCCTTGGAGATAGTCAAAACCCACCTGGACACAATCCTGTGCCATGTGGTCTAGGTGATACTGCTTGTGCAGGGGGGTTGGACTAGGTGATTTCCAAAAGTCCCTTCCAACTTCAGTCATTCCGTGTGGAAGGAGCAGAGGCTGTTCAGGGTACTCAGACTAATAGTCTTAATGAAATCAGGATTTTCTAAATGCCTCCATTAATAAGTTACGATACTCACTGGCAGGGTGAGAAGAAAACAAACAAACAGATAAAACTCTCTATATGCTTCATAAATACCATTTTTTTCCCAAGCCTCAAAAGTAGGTAAACAGCTGAGAGGGACTGGGGGAACACCCAAGGCCTAGATTACAGTCTGCAACCTCAAGGAAGCTATGGAGCCAAAGCTCCCTCTCTGATAGCCACAGGCTGCAGCTGCACTGCAGTTTTCCCCTGCTCCATGATCCATTCCACCAGGCCCAGGCAGGCAGCAGAACATGGATCAGGCACAAAAAGGCTGCAGGGATTTGGTAAGGAGACAGCTCAAAGCAGAGCTGTCTGGGGGCGGGCTGACCTCACGCACACTGCCCAAGACTTGGCAGCCCTTTCCACCATGAGAACAGCAAGAGACTTCTCTGCCCCAGTGAGCTCCAGCGATGAAGCCTGCACCTAGGTGAACAACAGGACTCAGCCTCCCTGCTCTCCATGACAAGCCTTTGGGTCAGAAGGGACCAGCCCCAGGGCTCAGGCAAACTTCCAGCAGCCCCTGGAGGCCTGAGCTGCTGTGGGCAATGCCTCCCTGCTTGTGTCCCTGCTGCAGGCTGTGGAAGGAGCCGTGGGGCTGCCCGTGGCCGTGCAGTGCGTGGCTTGGCCGTGGCAGGAGGAGCTCTGCCTCCGCTTCATGAAGGAGGTGGAGACACTTCGCCGTGAGCAGACAGCAATGTAGCCTCTCCTGCACCTGCGGGGACCAGGGGCAGCTGAGACACGGAGGAGAGCGCTCTGTGACTTCTCCCCACTTCTGCTCAGCAAGACCTAACTTGCAGCAAGGAAGGAAGGAGAAAGGAACAGCTGTTGACGCTCCCAGTCCTTGCCATGACGTACATAGCCTGGAAGGGACACAGTGAGTTTCCTAGTTAGCCATTAAAAGGATTGTAATTCTGCCTAATTTCCTTCATCTTTGCTGGGATGCCACTGGATTTATCTCTGAACATCTTACTGGCTGAAACAGAGACTAAGCAAGTGTCAGAATAAGTTTTCCAGAACATCATAATGCAAACTCTTCACACCACCAGACCCTTTTGCTAGAAAGGGCCCTTGCCTTGGCCACGTTCCCTTCTTCCTTTGCAGAAAAAAAATCACAAAATGCCTACAGGTTCCAGACTGACTGTGGGGCTTCACACATCATTCTGTAATACTCGTGTCCTGCTGCTCATTCTCATTTCTCCCCATAAGCTGATATGCTTGAAAACAACCAGTTCCTTCTGCTGCATTAACGACCATGCAGTGTCCACACTGCACTGCCACACTAATGCTCACACTGGCCCAAGATGTGAGGCAGGCAGCAGTGCTGCCTTATGTTGGGTTCACATGGTCATAGATGGTGAATTGCCAGCTTCCTGGAAGGATGGGCATGGATGGGAGTTTCACCCATCATTTTCATGCACACGGTGTATTGCAGAAGAGTGACAATGCTGAGACAGCAAAGGATCTGAAAGCTCAACAGTATTTTCTTGCTGGCACACTGGAGTAACTTCATAGAGATGTTAACTGTGGGCTATTCTAACAGCAGTGCAGAGGACTGTGTATTTGCATGAACACAGGCAGGTCTGCCCAACTGTTATCTTGAACACAAAAACCCAGAAGTGTAGCTATTCACCAAACCTTGCCATAAGCTCCAATAGTCTACTATTTATTACTCAACTGATGGGTTTGATTACGCGAGTGCACAGGTAGTGCTTGCTCAAAGCCATAGGAACATCTTCCTACTGCCCGAGAAACAGTATCTAGTGTGTCTAGGACTGTTCACACCCTCTTCCTCAAACTTACCCTGCCCATGAGGGACAGCAGTAATCACATGCCTTTCCACAGCACTGAGCTTTTTCCACCAGCACATTTCTAACATCACAAGGGTATTTCCACCTCCACAGCAGCAGCTTCCTTAAGAAGAACCTCTTCTTCAAGGACCTCAGGCTGCTCCCTCTAAAAACAGCAAGCGCAAAGCAGCAAGATAAGCAGAGAGAAACTATCGGCACTATTTACAGATAGTGAGATATAGGCCAGAAAATCTGGGGTCCCCAGATGGTGTTTATGAACCTGTTCATTCAGGATCAAAACAGACAGCAGGGAGAGATCAACATCCACACAGGGAGATTTAGCCCATTCTGAGACAGGCAGGATGAACTGCTCTCCCTGGTGAGATCTCTCTTGCTTTCCACGATTAAACACCTCAGCCTTAAACAAATAAATGACTAAGAGAGTCCATGATACGTCTTTCTCATTTATTCTCTATGTCTGCAGTGAAGAGATTTCCTCTAGCACATTTAAAAAAATAAATAAATACAGAACAGTTCTGCTTCCCCTGGAAACTTGGGGTATTTCACTATAGTCAGCAGTGGGAAAGCAAGTTCAGTTGCATTCAAGATGGCCCAGGAAGGTACAGTGAGGAAACTGGAGGTCCCACACAGGCGAGAGGTCTGTCATTCCCTCTAAGCGCGACGTAATTTGCAGAAATACATCGGTCCAAAGTTAGCTGTAAGGTGAGGAAGAACAAGCTCCCCCAGCCTGCAGTCTGAGGAGAAAGAAAATGTATTCTGGAAGAGCGTCCGGAAGTAGCTCAAGTCCTTAACCTGGGTACCAATGTTGTATTCGGTTTCCGCGATTTCTATCGCTCTCTCGACCACGTACTCATTCTGCAGCTGGGAGAGGGAGCATGTGGAATACACGACTTCTCCTCCTGGCATGGTAGCAAGGATTCCAGCCCTACAGGCAAAATGAACAAATATATCAATATGAGAAAGGGAATGTAGTGGGACACCAGCATTTCTGCCCTCTGAAATTAGGAAGCCAGCACTTAACCTCTCGGAGATGAGGAGAGACTAATCTCTAATCTCCTTGATCTCTGCACACTCAGCAGCCTCACAGCACCAGTGCAAATTCAAGACTCTTTTAGACCACAGCAACATGCACTGAGGCAAATATATAGATGGCTCAAACTCTCCTATGACCTCCTTCTGGTTACTGCTAGAGATAGGAAGAATATTTAGTTGACCAAGCCTGCTTCTACCTTCTCACACACATTGCTTGTGGCTTGGTGTGTTCAACTACTGGAATTACAAAAATGACATGCATTTTCCACATCTGCCAACAGGAGCCTGAGCTCTTGTACAGGCACATGTAATCGGAGAAGGAGTTTCACTGCTGGGCACTTGAGGGAGCTGCTATTATAAACACACAAATGGCAACACAGCATAGCTTCGAGCTTACTCACACCAGCAGCTGCAACTGCAGCATTGGCAACATCTGACGCTCCTTGGATCTCCTTTTGTGGAAGATGTTGTTGTCCTCCTCCATGACGGAGTGCCTGTCAGTCGTGCAGGGCACATCCACAAGGACCTGCAGCAGCAGAGATCCTGCATCAATCCCAATCCCAGTTAAACCTTGTGGAATCTTCTACCACAACCTTCTCTTTGCGCAGCTCCTCCCTCCTTGCCACTAACACTAGCTGGATTAATGCAGCTCTTTGTACCTTGCCTAGCTTGTTCCACTAACAGAGTACAGGTATTCACCTATGCTGAACTGTTACTTGTTTGGCAGCTTTCAAGTCTTCAGGATGAGCAGACAGATAGGACACAAATGTGCTGGATAATTTTACATCCTCACGTGTATCCTCATTTAAACTTTCCACTCAGTGCATCTTGTTGGTACCGTGACAGTTACCCAAGTGGATGCAGCTATGCACTGCCAACACTTAACCACCTCCTGCAGCAACAAAACCACCCTCCCACAAACAAAACAAACTGCTGAAGTGCAAACATCATAGCTGGCACACCAACACACCCCTGACTGACAGGGGCAGGAATCTAGAGACAGGATGTGGTTGACGTAACACCTAAGCTTCAGATTTAACCCCTTGCAGGTTATAAATAAGGTAGGGTTCTTTAAGGGCTATTATACAGGTACAGCTGAGCATGTCCCTGCTCCAGATCCTGCAAGAAACAGGCCATTTTAGCTAGAGGAAACACCGTATGTGGCTTAGTCTTACCTCTTTCTCTACATGTCAGAAGACATGGAGAATTAGGCCTACCAAGTTACACTGCTAAATAAGCTACTGTCTTCCTCTGAAATAGGAGGAAACTGAATTTGATGGGATTATCTTCATGTTTTTGGTCACTAACCTTATGGAAACTTCCACTTTCCAGTTCTGCCCAGTTCCTTCCATCCCATGAAGTGATACACACAGTTTCCTTCACTTGCTTGGGAACATAGCTATTGAGAACCTGATGCAGCCTTTTCGTGCGAGAAATGGAGATGTCATTGGCTGCCAGATGTCCTGAAGTGAGAGAGAGACAAAATGGTACACTGAGAGAGACATTCACTCTGAAAATAATAAAACTGATTGCTGCCTCTTATAACCACAAAAGATTAATGGTCAGATAGGCATTTCCTGGGGGACCAACACACACTGTAGACCAGAGGTCATCAAACTTCAGGAGGTGCAGTAAACATTGTAGGTACAAAAGCTACATCAACGTTGTTATAAACTGCTTTTCTCCTAAAGACTTTTCTCCAAAAGCTTCCTGCAAGAGGCAAAAGCTTTTGTCACTGTCTGTCTCCTATCACTGAGGCAACAGGAGCTCCCAGCTCTATGTGAAAGAAAGAAAAAAGGAAAAAAATGAAAATGAAAAATAAAATAAAATAAAATAAAATAAAATAAAATAAAATAAAATAAAATAAAATAAAAATAAAATAGCACTTTTCTTCCCACCCTTGCCCCCTTGTTTCTGGAGAGGAGCTCAGCCATGAACTAGATCTTCACCAAAGTCACAATACCTGCTGGGACAAAACACACCAAATTTGGAAAGATCCGCACTAGAGTAACTCCCAGAGAATCATTCCTTATTGTCTTCAGTATAGCTCTTATCTTAACCCTGGGCTAGAAGGAGCTACCACAGCAAGCCCTCTCATTCCAGGTTTGCACAGCAGTACGAGGTGGGGGAGTAACCCCTTTACTTACCACAGAGCCCTGTCTGCAGGATGGCCAGAGTCTTTCCACCTGGAGCTGCACAGAGGTCAAGGACAAGGTCACCAGGTTTAATGTTAAGCGCCAAAACAGGCAAAAGAGAGGCTGCATCCAGGAGATAATAGTTGAAGATCCCCAGAACATCTGGCCTAGTTTGTGAAAAATGAATAAATACATAAATAAGCATGTGAGGAAACACAGCCATTGAAAGTTAAGCTGGGTACATACAAAATAAGCTGATAACACACACACAAACCCTCAGACTGGCAATAAAAATGCATGGCTTCCACTGCAAATGTTCAGCAAAACAACAGAAGAGTCTGGCAGAGTCTACCATAGCACTTCTCATAACAAAGTAACAATGCCTTTTGAAAATACAATTCTAATTCTTACCCAATTCATGCATAAATGTGCTGGTATGGCCTGTACTTAATACTGGGCTAAAGAAAAGAGAGTTAATAATTCTTCCTTACATCAAAGCTTTTGTTTTGCCTAAGTTTCACAACAGGATGAGAAAAGTAGGTTTTATTTCTATTCCCAGAATCCCTGATAGTCCTGTCATGAAATTTCTAGCAAATGGGCTCTAAGAAACCTAGACTAGTAAGATGAGCATCCCTTTTTAAAGTGTAATTCAGGAAAAGGTCCTGTAAACATCTGCGTGAAGCACGACACCCCTGAGCTCTCCAGTTAGTGTGGCCACCTCACCGTGCTGAACGGAAGCGGGTGATATCTCCTCTGGGGAATGTGTAGCACTTGATATTGGGGGTGACGAGGGCTGAAAGCGGTGGCAGTTTTGCAGCTTGGTGCTCGCTGGGCGCTTCCTGGGGTGCGCTTTGCTCCCTCGCTGCTGGTTCCACAACCGAACCCTCCTGCAAATGCTGCACTTTTTGGAGGCTTTTGGAAACGAAATCTGCAGCGTTCACCAGCTCCAGCTCCTGGGCGACGTGGTCAACGTCGGCAAAACCGTTCACCAGGGCGCCGTACTTCTGCTCGGAGAGCAGGCTGATCCGCACGGAGGGCCAGGCCTCCCCGAACCGCAGGCTGTAGTTCATGTCGAAGTTCTGCAGCGCCAGCGCCGTGGACGGCACGCGGGGCGCAGTGGCAGCCTTGGGAAAAGGAACGGGCGACATGAAGGACGTTATGGGGCTGAAACAGGGGGCCGAGGGACTGCAGGGCGGGAAATGGCGCCCCCCATCCCGGGGTCCCAGCCGGGCGCTAAATGGCGGCCCT